TTGAACCTCTGAGATAGCCGCCTCCTACCTGTTTCGATGCGAGTGTTGACCTTAAGCTTCCGATGCGCGAAGGTCACGCCGAAGTGAGGATCATCGAACCCGCTTCGCGCACGTGAACACCGTCGAGGTTCTTTTCAGCTGTTCCGTACGGCTTGTCTAGATGTAGGCAGGAATTCCACGGCGAACGAAACGGTTTCCTGCTTGACAGCTTCGGTTTCGATTGGTCGAAAATGGCGGGGTGGTCTGAAAATTTTCCATACGACGAAAGACAAAATATTACGTTCAGGGTAGAATAACTCAACTCCCATAATATGTGCACTGCTATTTATTAGAAAAGAAGAGATACGAGCAAAATAAAGCAGATATGAAAAGCAATACGTCCGGTGCATGTAGATTTGTGTGTTGACCACGTTGCACTTTCCTCGAAAAGCGTATGGTGCCGTCACCATCGCCAATCGACACCATAGATAGTGTCATATAGCCGCGGGCCATCCGAACCATCGTATTATTATTGTAAGGAATTAATGGGCTGGGTCGAAAGAAAAATAAAAACTGCGTAACAAAAATATATACTTTAAATAAGAAGCATTCGTGGAATCGTGGCAGCATGCTTGAAACCGGATCGCCAAATAAAAAACCGTCCGCGATACGCCATTTCTGCACACGTGGTAATCAGGATACCGGGTATTTCCTTACGATTCCACAGTATTGAACACGTGTTAATCAGGATGCCTGATATATCCTCGCATTATTTTTCTTTCGTCGGAACAATTAAGAGATTAATAGCTTGACAAATTAAATAATCCTTGCCATCCAATTATAGTCTTACGTCTTTCAAAAGGATAGACTTACACTTCATGGACTTTCGTGGTCCAATCTGACTGCCATACTAACCTGAGGAGCCTAAATTTTTCGACGAAAATAAAATTTTCAAATCGTTCTAAAAAAATTATTTTTAGTTACAGGGGTCTATTTCAATCATTTTTGGTCAATAGACTTACCCCCGAAATCCTACCCACTTTCGAGAAAAAAATTCGAGTAGGTGTGAAATTTTTCGACAAAATTCAAAAATTTGAAATCGTTCTAAAAAAATTATTTTTAGTTACAGGGGTCTATTTCAATCATTTTTGGTCAGTAGACTTATCCCCGAAATCCTACCCACTTTCGAGAAAAAAATTCGAGTAGGTGTGAAATTTTTCGACAAAATTCAAAAATTTGAAATCGTTCTAAAAAAATTATTTTTAGTTACAGGGGTCTATTTCAATCATTTTTGGTCAATAGACTTACCCCCGAAATCCTACCCACTTTCCAGAAAAAAATTCGAGTAGGCTTGAAATTTTTCGACAAAATTCAAAAATTTCAAATCGTTCTAAAAAAATTATTTTTAGTTACAGGGGTCTATTTCAATCATTTTTGGTCAATAGACTTACCCCCGAAATCCTACCCACTTTCGAGAAAAAAATTCGAGTAGATGTGAAATTTTTCGACAAAATTAAAAAATTTCAAATCGTTCTAAAAAAATTATTTTCGTTTGCAAGGGTCAATTACAATCATTTTTGGTGAACAGACATACCCACGAATTCCTACGCAGTTTCGAGATAAAAATTCTTTACCGAAAATATGTAATTTCATTTTCTATCTCACTTCCTCTTGTGTTCATTTCTTTACCTGTTGGTAACGTTGCTAGTGACACGAAAATGGTAATGGGGCCCCAGAGAAATGGACCGAAAAAATACATTGGATGTGAGGTCTACTCGTGTACCACGTCTATGGTAGTAGCTAGGCTATAGACAGGAACGATATAGTTTAATCTTCTGGTCTCATCCTCTGCACTCGTTCCTCCGCGTTCGAGCCACTACCTCGAGAATCTTGTTAAATTTAGCGAGCTCTACTTTGAATTATTACTGTTTTAAAGTACTTTGTAGATCATAGAGGAACCTTCGAAAAGGTAGTTCGAATAAATTTATTGCTCCTTCGGTTATCATCGGGAATTTGTTATAAAATCAGTATTTATTGAACTCTACAAAACAGCTTAATTTACCTTTTTGATTGTCTGTACACGGTTTCTAGTATTATAATTTATAACGTGGACGTTTAGTTTTTTTTTTTATAATTATAGTTACTGTCAATAATAAATAGACCCCAAAAAAAATAAAAAAAAAATTGTCCCTGAAGAGGTTAAAGATACAAATTAATAATAAATTGTTTCAAACGGTTCTTGAAAATCGGGGCCAGAAATGGCTGAAAAGTGTTTTTAAATAAGCGTCCAGAATTTGTTGCAGTAATAAGCAACCGTGTCCGTGGCCTCTGTAACGTAGGAACAATTATAAGAAACGATGGTTCGCGCCGTGACGTCGTTACAGATGCCCGAAGGTGGCAATCGATACAACGTACAGAGATTAAGGACGCATTAGCTCTAACGAGCGCCAGAGGCGTCCCCGGCGAGTGTCGTTTAATTTATACCGCGCCATAAGCTATATTGTTCCAAGCGAAAAAGCGATCAAAGAGAGAGAAGAGACTTTCACTTCTTCCAGGGTCGTTGTGCCTTGCTGACGTTTCTCACGCTTCCCTTTGTATCGATTCCTTACATCTTAAGCTCGAGCATTGTGAAGGGAGGATAAGTTTTCTCTTTCAGGAATCGCTGTTTCGCATTTTCCGCGAGAATTCATAGCGCCAGGCTACCCGGGACGAACTTTCCAAATTAACGAATTCAAACGTTGTTCTTTGCAACGCGAAGTTTCCGTTTTACTTGGGCATCGTAAACGTAAAATAGTAATTTGTATTCTCAAAGATAGGAAATAAGGAAAAGTTAAATTTATAATTATAATTCCGAACGGAATAAATAAAATTTAAATCGATTAATTTTTATTCGCGTTCGGAATATCGACAAATTGATTCCTTGGGTTTTAAACACGTTTCAGGAAGTGTGTCCCCATTGTGTCGGTTTATCGTTCGATGTTTTTAATCGAGAGTGGGGGGAGACCTCAGCAGTTTCGAAACGAATCAGCTTCACGGTGCATTGGTTCGCAATGAAACTCTTAATTAATTACGGCGCGTGTCGAAATCGATTATCTGTCCCCCTGACGCTTGTTTTTCCTTCTCGGGCTGCCGCGAGCGATTAATTAACGCGAACAATGGAAAATTTGCCGGATTAAGGGAAAATCAGCGGCGCGATCCGAGTCGAGCGACCCCTGGTGTCACGCCGTGGCAGACTATTTCGTCGCCATGATGGCAATTAAAATCTCGCCCCGGCTTGAAACTTTGTACTCGACTTTCCGGCGAGTCATCGATTCCTTGGTGACGTTGGAAAAGTTATTGACCCGTCATTGGTCCGGTCAAATTTTAAAATCAATTAAAAATCTCTCGATAGTCGCGAACAGGAACGAAAATTATGTTAACCTCGTAGAAGCCATTTAAATTGACGTACGCGTGTACGTGGATCGCGATAAGGGCGGTTCACCAGGAGGCGAACTAGACAAATAGATTTGGCTCCGGGCTCTGCTTCGTTCGCCAAGGTCGTGCACAGCGTGGCGTCAGAGATCGTTGACTTCTGGGGGCTCGACCTCGTCATCCTCTTCCTCCTCCTCCTCCTCGTTGCTTATCTTCGTCTTCCCCTCCGTCCCCACCACGCCTGTCCGCCGTCGGGCACAGAATTTCTCTGAAACGATTTGGGAAACGCAGCTGTCTTTTGCTTGCGATCGTCCGGCAGATTAGATAATTCTTTACGAAAACCATTATCGTTTAGAGTTTGTGAAAAGTTCTGTTAGTTTGGAGATATGAAACCGGGCTAGTTAAACGTTTCGACATACGGGGATTTTGGTCGACCGTGTTTGCGAGCAAAATCAGCATCGAACAGCGGTTCGAATCGCAACACCCGATATAGAGATCGATAGGCTGGAAATATCGACGCGTGCATCGTCACGTTTCAGGACGGTCGAGCGTCCCTCCATGTAAACTAAATTTTTCGAAGGGCACCAAATTGATAAATTCCACTGTCAAAAATACCGTTTCCCTTTCGTCGTTTATTTAAATTAATGTCAAATGGATATACCGTTTGACCCGCCGGTGGGATGTCATCGTCACCGTCGAAACAGCATATTAACTCCGCAAATGTTAAATCTATCAAGGCGTAGGAGACACCGTCGAAAAAGAAGTGTCACCTCTAGCAAGAAAGGCTATCCGTACAATAGCGAAATGGTTAGCATTAACTTTCGATTTGTATATCATGAAAAATGTCCAGGGATGGGTTTCTGTACAAATGTGTACGATTCGGTGGTATTAGTACGGTGAAGCTATTTCGAGCGAGCGGCGCTGTATGTATATAGATCGCGCGCTGCTCGTCGTCACACGTGTTTCGTAAACAGCGCGAGGACGATTCTGTTACTGAAAGCAAACGACATAACGTTTCTCGTGGAAGGTCTTCTCAATCGCGAACGATAAGAATAACGTGGTGTATCTCGCGTCGTGCTGTTTCGAATGTTTGCAACCATGGTCCGAAAAATAATAACCGATATTACGATCGAGAGACTCGTTTCGAGACGAAACTTGGTTTCAATTTTTTTAAGGAGTTTGCACACGATCATATCGTAAGCGTAACTCGCGTTAAGTTATTGATCTTGTTCGTCCCCCTTAGCTGAGCAAGCGTACCCAAAATGATCGACCCCCACCTCGGCGCGCATTGCTAGATTTTCAGGTTAGGTTCGAATAAATTAATAAATATTTATATAAACTATAATTATGCGTACACGGTGTGAATTTTATATTGGCCATTGATTTCTAATTTCGAAAATTGAAAATAAATATTTTCTTAGGTGAACGCTATGAATTTATAGGTTTTTGGATATTCAAATATTTCGTGAAATATTTGGGACGAAGACATTTCTGTGAAAACGTTTCACCGAGAAATGCTCGCGTAGCCCTTAGCGTGTAGATAAGTTTAAGCTAATTTCCACGGGACATACTCTGACGTGGTGTTGCATTTGAAGGTCTTATGTGCACAGGTGAAGGTGGTTAAGTTCAGCTACATGTGGACGATAAATAACTTCAGCTTTTGCCGGGAGGAAATGGGGGAAGTACTAAAGTCGTCCACCTTCTCAGCAGGGGCCAACGATAAATTAAAATGGTAAGATCCCAAAAATTAAATCCATTTACTAGCACAGAATTTTTTCTATCGAACAATATCGTTGAAACTATTCAGAAGTATTGTTTAAAATTCTTTGCACTGCATACTAACTGTTTGGTTCTATCGCTTCAAAGTTTTACGAATCTTCTTACGAATTCAGTATATTTAACATTTATAACGATTTCAACATTTTCATCAATTTCATTTATTTTTGCATTAGAAATATTATCTAAATATAATTGCTTATAATTTCCGTACGATATTGTTCGTCACGTAGTACTACGTTGAACAACTTATACCTCACGTAGTACTACGTTGAACAACTTATACCTCACGTAGTACTACGTTGAACAACTTATACCTCACGTAGTACTACGTCGAACAATATATACCCCCACGTAGTACTACGTTGATCAATATATACTCCCACGTAGTACTACGTTGATCAACATATACCTCACGTAGTACTACGTTGATCAATATATACTCCCACGTAGTACTACGTTGATCAACATATACCTCACGTAGTACGACGTTGAATAACATATACTCCCACGTAGTACTACGTTGACCAATATATACTCCCACGTAGTACTACGTTGAACAACATATTCCCTCACGTAGTACTACGTTGAACAACATATTACCTCACGTAGTACTACGTTGAACGATTTGTACCTCACGTAGTACTACGTTTGACATTAAACATTAACCGACATTGCCTAAGTCTAATTACGCAACACTATGACTTTTCTTCAAGCAAGCAGTAGTATGTTTCTTATTAAGTCAAAAAATGTTTTCAAAATATTTCTGTTCGATTCCTGGTACATGTTTTATCTGGTTGCTCTTGAAGAAAAAAGAACAAAATAAAATGCGAATGCAAAGGATGTATGGTAGATCTGTAAACCCGGTAATTGATTTTAGGTGCCTAAGAGTGAATCCTAAGGGTCTGGACGAGGAGAGCAAAGACTACCTGTCTCTGTATCTCCTTCTCGTTTCGTGCAACAAATCCGAAGTCAGAGCAAAGTTCAAATTTTCTATTCTTAATGCCAAAAGGGAAGAGACCAAAGCAATGGGTAAGTTCGATCATTTTAAAAAATTTCGTCGATAGCTTAAATATATCTTAAATATTATTATATTTGCATATATCACTTTACTAACTAAACTAAAGTATCTAATGTTAACCTATGACATTTACACAGTCTTCATTAAGCGTAACCTGATCCATTCGCCGCCTCGTGGATCGTCAGAATATTGAAAAGAATTCATTTTTTTTTTCTTTTATCGTGGAAACTTTTATGAAATTCAAAGGGGTTGGCAACAGTGCTGGGAAACTAAGATCGTTCGATCGAGTGCTTAAACCAGTTTCTTTTTTTTTTACAAATGTTTCCGCGTTTGTCGTGAGTAATAAAACGTTGCAATTTGTATGCTTCCAGAGAGCCAACGTGCTTATAGGTTCGTCCAAGGTAAAGATTGGGGTTTCAAGAAGTTCATTAGGAGAGATTTCCTTTTAGACGAGGCGAACGGACTCCTGCCCGACGATAAACTCACGATATTCTGTGAGGTATATACCTTTGTATGTTAATTGTTTAATACTCGTCTTTGCTCACCGTTCCGTGAGCGAGATTTATAACGCGGGGAATCGTTGCAGGTTAGCGTGGTGGCGGACAGCGTGAACATTTCCGGACAAAGCAACACTATACAATTCAAAGTCCCGGAATGCCGGCTGTCCGACGATCTCGGTCTGCTTTTCGAAAACCAAAAATTTAGCGACGTCACGCTGACGGTCTGCGGGAGGGAGTTTCAGGCGCACAAAGCCATACTAGCGGGTAAGTTTACAAACCACAACGATAGGTGGCGCATTCAAGGGACACATCGAAAGAAAAGTGACTTTTCATGCGAAAATAAGTCGAATATGTAAAGTAAAATCTTCCTCGATGACTCAATTCTCCAAGAAAATCGAGTTTAAAGACTAGTTACATATTGTGTTCGATAACGCGCCATCTCTCGGTCCTTCGCGCAAGCTCCTCGACAGAGAAGTCACCAATTCCACGATTAGTGAAATTCTAGGGTTTTTATATGTCACGTTCGATCGCTTTTCTTTTAATTGTATCACAATCTTAATTTTAAAGTTAATTTTTTTTTCTTATTGTTAACGATTTATTTATTATTATACAGCACGAAGTCCGGTTTTCTCTGCGATGTTCGAACACGAGATGGAGGAGAGGAAACAGAATCGCGTGGACATCACCGACGTGGAGCACGAGGTGTTGCGAGAAATGCTGCGATTCATCTACACGGGAAAAGCGACGAATCTAGAGAAAATGGCGGACGATCTGCTAGCGGCAGCGGACAAGTATGCGCTCGAAAGGCTGAAGGTAATGTGTGAGGAAGCACTCTGCACGAGTTTAGCCATCGAGAACGCAGCCGAGATCCTCATTCTTGCTGATCTTCATAGCGCTGATCAACTCAAGGCGCAAGCCATAGACTTCATTAATACGTAAGTTTTGTTTTAAAGACCGGAGATGCCGCGGCTAACGTAGAAAAGTTCGAACCCGAGCGGGGATAATTTTGTTCGTCGTAATAATCGTGATCGAATCGATAGAAATAGAATTTACTGGTTTAGTCTCTTCTATTGGCGACTTCATTCGTTGAAACGTTTCGTAAGTCTCGAACGAATAGATAGATAGGGGTTTTTTTATCGAACGGTGCACGTTTCTGTTTCAGACACGCGACGGACGTGATGGATACAGCGGGTTTTAAGTCGATGGTGAACTCTCATCCGCATCTTATAGCAGAAGCGTTTCGAGCGCTAGCCACGCAACAGATACCTCCTATCGGACCGCCCAGGAAGCGAGTAAAACAGAGCTGAAAACAGTATTTTGCATCCCTCATGACTTTTTGTGTACAGTGATACGAGTAGTGTTCTAAATAAATGTTTCCTAGTGCGCCATTCCTCTGGCCCACTTAAAATAGACTACGTCGAAGTGACTAATAACGCCAGTTTCGAGCCGATTGCTAGGTCGGTTGCTCTTGGATGGGCAACCAGTTCGGCCAGTTCGAAGCTAAATGCAAGCATAAATTCATACCCGGAGAGAGAGACGCCTCCCTTTGTAATTCAGTGAGTCGTCGGTGTTGGAAAAAAAGAACTGTCTATCACAGAACGGAGTGGGGATACTGCACGTGCGACGGAAAGAAAAATTAAGACGGGAACGAGAGCACCAACGATAACTTGTCGGTTAATATTTGTACCGATGTTGGGACAACAGGGACACACGCGACAACGGTACTCTTTTTTTTGCATTGTGCGTCGTCAACGGTCTCGTTCGAGGGAAGCGTGTGTTTTCATTTCTACAAACGCCACTAAAAAATGTCAGCGATTTGTCAATGCGCATCGTTAGGGTCTCGCGTGGATTTGCTTTGGGGGATCGCAAACCATCCGTATTGAAGAAAGATGTAAAAGCAGCCAGTGGACCAAGGCGAGATTGAAACTTGCTGAAATTGCTACGACATACACGTACACACACACACACACACATTTGTATACGCGATACACGTACACGAACACACACACACACAATGCACGAAGGAAGTTGTGATAGACGTCGGCCAGACGATTAAAACATTTTGTTCCTTTGTCGAAAACATGGATCAAACGATTGTCCCACGCTTGTTCGTTGTGCAACGAGCAAGAAGAAAAAAGTTAGATACTATGTTTACTACCGATAGTGATTTTTAGTTATATATATATATTGAAAAAAAAAAAAGGAAATGAACGTCAAACTCTTCCAAGAACGGAGAAAATGATTCTAGTTAGTGTTTTTTATGATCTCTTTCTCTCAACATGTACGACTACTACTATGATTACTATTAATGCTACGCAATCTGTGCCGTATTTTTGTATATTTTTGTCTGCAGATACCGCCCTGCGCCTCCCTTCCCCCGCCCCCCACCCCACCCCCCTTTAATGCGGCCTTTTACTCGTCCCTTTTATCACTAGGCACAGTTTGTTTTGTTTTCTTGAGTATTGCATAGTAGAAGAAGTGATAGATTCGAATTATTATTATTATATTATTATATTATATTATTATTATTATTATTGTATTAAATTTAGGGTTGTCCATAATTTATCGAATTTTATGTTGATTATTATTGAAATGTCTATCGTACTTGTGCGCAGGATATATGTATTAATTAGTGATGTTACGAGGGTCGCGTTAAAAAGTCGATGGCACAGTTATTAGAGATAAAATGAAAAGAAAAAAAATGAGAATCGCTGAAACGAGAACAAAAGGGAAAACGAATGAATTTAAGAAGTTGTATAAATAAAAGTTAGTCAATTATATAGTGCGAAAATATTAATCGTTTTTTATGTAATTAATGAATTGCGAATTCGTGTGGTCAATGATCTTGAATTATGGGCAACCAAGAAGGCAAACAATAATCATCATTTAGTACTGTACTGGCTTCCTGATCCTCCGACCTAGCTTTACCCGATGTTTTAAATATGAGAAATACCATACAGGAGTAATGATATTGAAGATTAATGCCATACATGTTCTGTGATAAGACCACTGTAATTACCGCAATTGTATCACACCTTTCTAGAACTTCTGACGATCCTGGCAGCCAGTGAATTTATCTTTTAAGAAACGGTCGCTATCCGGACAGTCCCAAATCTAGCGTCCCTTTCGATTTTAAGATTTTTACTGTACATATCTACTGTATTTTATAAGAACTGAACCGAATGGAACCATACATTTATGAAGGGTACAATAACCAACTATAATTTATTCTATTTTACAGACTGTGCTAAACTCATGTTCCTTGAAACACTAGCAATGCTTTAAGTAAATGTAATATGTAATAACAACAAATTAATACGATTAGAACGTATTGTGTCACTTTGGTCTCGGCACCGGCGTGTACGCGTGCGTCGCGGCCACGTCGCGCGTGTATTTCCGTCGAGATTTAAAACGAAAAGAAGAAAAGATAAAAGAAAAGAAAAGAATCCTATGAGAAACATAGTTAGGGAACGATTTTCCACCGTTTTTTACATGATGTTTATTTCAGTCATAGATCATTAGAGCTTAAACGAAACGATAAAACACGGGAGAAAAATAATAAAATAATAAATGTAAGCGGTTTAAGGAACAGATTTTGGCCGTGCTCGCTCAGATTTTAAAAAAAAATTCGATGGAAGAAAAAAAGAAATGAACAAGTGAAATCTACGTCCATTCTACCCATTCTATCTTTGGGACTGTGCGGCGAATATCTCATGAAAACTCGTAATGTTGAATGTCTTTTTCCTAAAAAAAAAAAATACCAAGAAAATAAGCACGAAACTAATATTAATCCGTACGACAGTTCGAAAAATATTAGATACAATTCTTTGAACCAATCTACATGAGCGTATGACTGGATAATTTGATAAACTAAGTACAAGTAAGACAAGTGTTACCTCATCATGAAAATCGGCATGTCTGTGTCGCGATAGCTACTACTGCACTGCTGTCTGATACACACTTCCGTTGTATATTGCATTTAAACTCGAAAGCTTTTTGTAACGAATAGTTCAGCAGTGGTAGCTTCTCGAAGTACACGGCTGCTGTTCATCGAACCCAGCTCATACAAACGTTCATTTTTCCATTTACTTTAAGTCATTGCACCACATCAAATAAATGACATTTTCATTATATAATCATGAGAACTTTTACGTGATTTTTCATTACCCCTGACTACGCCTTGCCAGCGACGCGTCTCGCGCATGTATATTTCAATTCTTTTTTCTTTCCAAGTTCTATACTTGATATTTCATAAATTTCCTTGAATCGAACTTTAGCATGATATCGGGCTCAGATTAAAATTACCTTCAGTTACGTTAAAAAGTAATCTTAAACTTATATTTATTTCTCGGTTACAAATAATCTACAAATTCACGCAGTCATCGATACCAGATGTTTCGTTAAAGATGATGCACTATTGGAAAGGCCGGATTAGTTTGGTGCGTTACTCTATCTGTTGGTTTCGGGGTATCTGGATATGCTGGCGGTGCTTCGAGCATTAATGCCTAAAAAATACGTACAGTTGATACCACGGATTCTCAGCCGTTTAAAGGGAATACGATTCTCCCGCGTAACTTGCAACCAACATGGCCAGAAAGAAAAAAACTAATTGCAAATCCCATTTTTATGGAGAGGGGGAAGGTAACGTAACGTGGGGGGAGGGGCTCTAGTACCTCGCCCCCCACTCCTTAAAAATAGGATTTAGTTTGTCTTTCTGGGTACGCTGCTTGCAACAGTAGATTGTGACGGTGCAGTTGCGCGACAGAGGTGCGCGATAGAGGTGCGCCATTGCACAGTAAGATACAATCTATTCGTAACGTAACAAAAACGATTTTAATGAGAACGCTTTTACTTAAACTGTTACGATGATAATTCAACAAAGAAATTAGAAACAATATAAGCGTGAAACAACGTAAATAGAGAAAACGTATGTCGCGTAGTATGACTGTATCAACAACACGTGAAATGGGGATCTCTAAATGCTTTTAAACAATTTTACCAAATATAGTGAGTTTGTTTAGTTGCAGTAACACCATCTGGCGTGTTCGAGCAGCGAGAGACAATTAGAGCGTAACACGAAGTAGAAAGGGTAACGATTAATTAGAAAACGTATGAAATCCGTGGCATCAGATTCGTACGCGACGATAGGTTGTGCGATAAAGTCAGATTTATCTGCCATCGACTGATATACGAGAGATAATAGATATAAAATTGCTTATAATTCAGTTGTTCGTAATTTGGATGTACCTTCTATAATATTAGTTCCGAACAAATTATCAAATATATTTAGGTAGAAAATAGATAAACGTACTCTGTTGGTAGGCGATTCGTAAAAAGGTGGTGCGTTACATGCTTCGTTATACGGCGGCGGTCTGTCCCTCGATTCATCGTAAATCGCATAGCATTGCAACGAATCGGAGTTTATGTTTTCGTTTTGACACACGCTATGGTGTGTACAACTGTCGCGAGATCCCCTGCAAATACTTTACAACAATGTCGATATTACTTTGTGTATATGGTAATTGTGCATTTTCCTTTCTATTCTGATTAACAATAGCCAAGAAAATAACAGTACTGAAGATATTTGTTATCCTATTGAAACTTTGATGTTTAATTGCCGAGAATTCCTACCTGACGCACACCTTGCAGTACATTACAATCGCAAAACAAATACGGCATACAAATAATAGAAATATAACAATTTGTATAGCCGATATCGTGTTCCTATCTTTTGTTCCTACAAAAGAAACAATTTCGAAAATTAGTCGACGATAGAAAATAAAGAAAAGAAAGAGGTAAAATATTTTTAAATATCTAGAATTTGTAATGTCTGAAGAATTTATACGAAAAATGAATCATACCGATAGAAGCTAGAATGAAATCGTGTTTGGCGCGACAATGATTCAATAATTTTTTGACAGAACTTACCTTTGTACGGGTTATCGTCTACGTATGTGTCGCAGGAGTAAATTCCATTCTCATTGTAACGATAATTATTTGAAAACTGAGGTAATGAGGTATTAGGTTCTACGAACGATAAAGACCACTGTGTTTAGATTCATCGGCGTTATAATAAAAACTGATATACGTACCTGTAGAAATTATTGTATTCACTGTGACCATGTTATATAATTACACAATAAGAATCGTTTACTCAAAACAATTTACAAGACTACATAAATGTACATTGATATTACCGTGGTATTATCATTTGATTATAACTGAAGGAAAGTTTGTATATCATATGCGAAAAACAATCCCCGCAAACAGATAAATACATTGGCTTAACGTAAAACATTGAGTACTTGGACGTGTGAAGATTACAATCTTATCAAAAGGAAACTCCCTGATAATTTTTTATTTGGCGATCCGGTTTCAAGCATGCTGCCACGATTCCACGAATGCTTCTTATTTAAAGTATATATTTTTGTTACGCAGTTTTTATTTTTCTTTCGACCTAGCCCATTAACTCCTTACAATAATAATACGATGGTTCGAATGGCCCGCGGCTATATGACACTATCTATGGTGTCGATTGGCGATGGTGACGGCACCATACGCTTTTCGAGGAAAGTGCAACGTGGTCAACACACAAATCTACATGCACCGGACGTATTGCTTTTCATATCTGCTTTATTTTGCTCGTATCTCTTCTTTTCTAATAAATAGCAGTGCACATATTATGGGAGTTGAGTTATTCTACCCTGAACGTAATATTTTGTCTTTCGTCGTATGGAAAATTTTCAGACCACCCCGCCATTTTCGACCAATCGAAACCGAAGCTGTCAAGCAGGAAACCGTTTCGTTCGCCGTGGAATTCCTGCCTACATCTAGACAAGCCGTACGGAACAGCTGAAAAGAACCTCGACGGTGTTCACGTGCGCGAAGCGGGTTCGATGATCCTCACTTCGGCGCAGTGTGGCCAGATCGGGCATAATTGAGTGCATCGAAATCGACAACAGTGACGACGAACTTCCTTAGCGTCTAACGGAATGGTGGGGATAGCAGGCATACACTATCGCACGAGCCACGTGTACGTGAGCTCGGCACTTCGCACAACTTCGGGAAATCGATAAAGAACGATAGTGTGAGCCTTTCCTTCTTGCTCTTGTAAAAGACAAAACAACTGAAATACGACCTCGCGATAAGTGGCATACGATTCCAATTCTCGACTGCCCCAGCATTTTTACTTTCCGACCTATATGTAAGGTATAAGGAAATTTATAAAGTATCATAATGAAAAAAAATTTTGAAGTTTTTTTTTAGCGGAAATACACGTTTTAGGACCCCCTCATCATATTGTGACTACTACAAAAAAACATATTTTTTTTTTGTTCCTATGCTATTGACATGATTGCGTCTAAACGGCTGAATGAATTTCAATGAAACTTAACATTTAAGTTTTATGTTCTCGTTTTAAGGTCTCATTCTATTTTAAGCGTGATCAGCTCCCATATAATGATGATTATACGTTTTTAGTTTTATAATTATTTCGATACATACACATCATTTGTAACAAATTTTTAAAGCGATTTATATAAATCTTAAGAAGGATTAAGATCAAATATATTTTTCTCCTATCTTTCCTAGACAGGAAAAATTAAACGAAATCTTATGCCTTGCATACCTACCTAAACCACATAAAAAACGTATTCCACAAATATTTTAGAATAATGTTGTTCAAAGCAGTCTTACTCGTAAAGGGTTAATTAAGGGTTAATTAAAATGAAAAACCACTCTTAGCCAGTACCGTGCACGCTACAGAAATAGATTACTACTGACTTTTCCCACTATGTTTTTTAATAACCGTATCAAATTGTTACACACAATCAAATGTTATATATTTGACTTAACTTTACATAACAAAATAATTGTAACGATAGGTAAAAGAATAACGTGCACGCTACCGTTCAATGGAAACCACGGGAAGGTGGTGGTCACTTCCATCAGGAGGGAAATGTAAAAAATTGTTATTTCTTTGTAACATTATCACATGCCATATATTAGAACGTCTATATTCTTCTTTCCTTTTTTTTTGATTCCCCTCTAAATTCATTTCTGCAAAATGAAATATATTAAATTGACGTCTATATACTGCTATTCATTCAATAGAACTTTATTTCTAATTATTGCCTTTTAAAAACCTATGGGAACTGGGCTATATCTACGCGATGGTTATCGCATTATACATCCGTAGTTACACTTTTAGAGAATTGGGACTCTGTATTGCTTTTTTTGCAAGAATTGACAATAAGCGAGAAATCAGAGTCCGGGGAACGTCTGTTAATCTCGATGCAAAATCCAGAGGCCAAAGCATATCTTTATTTTCTAAATTACGCTCTTGAGTTTTTTTCGAGAGGTTCAACGCACGCCTGGTACGTGTAATCTCGTAACCAGTTACGTCTTACACGACCGCGCTACGCAGTCGGAAAATTGTTTTTTCTTATTGTTAACGATTTATTTATTATTATACAGCACGAAGTCCGGTTTTCTCTGCGATGTTCGAACACGAGATGGAGGAGAGGAAACAGAATCGCGTGGACATCACCGACGTGGAGCACGAGGTGTTGCGAGAAATGCTGCGATTCATCTACACGGGAAAAGCGACGAATCTAGAGAAAATGGCGGACGATCTGCTAGCGGCAGCGGACAAGTATGCGCTCGAAAGGCTGAAGGTAATGTGTGAGGAAGCACTCTGCACGAGTTTAGCCATCGAGAACGCAGCCGAGATCCTCATTCTTGCTGATCTTCATAGCGCTGATCAACTCAAGGCGCAAGCCATAGACTTCATTAATACGTAAGTTTTATTTTAAAGACCGGAGATGCCGCGGCTAACGTAGAAAAGTTCGAACCCGAGCGGGGATAATTTTGTTCGTCGTAATAATCGTGATCGAATCGATAGAAATAGAATTTACTGGTTTAGTCTCTTCTATTGGCGACTTCATTCGTTGAAACGTTTCGTAAGTCTCGAACGAATAGATAGATAGGGGTTTTTTTATCGAACGGTGCACGTTTCTGTTTCAGACACGCGACGGACGTGATGGATACAGCGGGTTTTAAGTCGATGGTGAACTCTCATCCGCATCTTATAGCAGAAGCGTTTCGAGCGCTAGCCACGCAACAGATACCTCCTATCGGACCGCCCAGGAAGCGAGTAAAACAGAGCTGAAAACAGTATTTTGCATCCCTCATGACTTTTTGTGTACAGTGATACGAGTAGTGTTCTAAATAAATGTTTCCTAGTGCGCCATTCCTCTGGCCCACTTAAAATAGACTACGTCGAAGTGACTAATAACGCCAGTTTCGAGCCGATTGCTAGGTCGGTTGCTCTTGGATGGGCAACCAGTTCGGCCAGTTCGAAGCTAAATGCAAGCATAAATTCATACCCGGAGAGAGAGACGCCTCCCTTTGTAATTCAGTGAGTCGTCGGTGTTGGAAAAAAAGAACTGTCTATCACAGAACGGAGTGGGGATACTGCACGTGCGACGGAAAGAAAAATTAAGACGGGAACGAGAGCACCAACGATAACTTGTCGGTTAATATTTGTACCGATGTTGGGACAACAGGGACACACGCGACAACGGTACTCTTTTTTTTGCATTGTGCGTCGTCAACGGTCTCGTTCGAGGGAAGCGTGTGTTTTCATTTCTACAAACGCCACTAAAAAATGTCAGCGATTTGTCAATGCGCATCGTTAGGGTCTCGCGTGGATTTGCTTTGGGGGATCGCAAACCATCCGTATTGAAGAAAGATGTAAAAGCAGCCAGTGGACCAAGGCGAGATTGAAACTTGCTGAAATTGCTACGACATACACGTACACACACACACACACACATTTGTATACGCGATACACGTACACGAACACACACACACACAATGCACGAAGGAAGTTGTGATAGACGTCGGCCAGACGATTAAAACATTTTGTTCCTTTGTCGAAAACATGGATCAAACGATTGTCCCACGCTTGTTCGTTGTGCAACGAGCAAGAAGAAAAAAGTTAGATACTATGTTTACTACCGATAGTGATTTTTAGTTATATATATATATTGAAAAAAAAAAAAGGAAATGAACGTCAAACTCTTCCAAGAACGGAGAAAATGATTCTAGTTAGTGTTTTTTATGATCTCTTTCTCTCAACATGTACGACTACTACTATGATTACTATTAATGCTACGCAATCTGTGCGTATTTTTGTATATTTTTGTCTGCAGATACCGCCCTGCGCCTCCCTTCCCCCGCCCCCCACCCCACCCCCCTTTAATGCGGCCTTTTACTCGTCCCTTTTATCACTAGGCACAGTTTGTTTTGTTTTCTTGAGTATTGCATAGTAGAAGAAGTGATAGATTCGAATTATTATTATTATATTATTATATTATATTATTATTATTATTATTGTATTAAATTTAGGGTTGTCCATAATTTATCGAATTTTATGTTGATTATTATTGAAATGTCTATCGTACTTGTGCGCAGGATATATGTATTAATTAGTGATGTTACGAGGGTCGCGTTAAAAAGTCGATGGCACAGTTATTAGAGATAAAATGAAAAGAAAAAAAATGAGAATCGCTGAAACGAGAACAAAAGGGAAAACGAATGAATTTAAGAAGTTGTATAAATAAAAGTTAGTCAATTATATAGTGCGAAAATATTAATCGTTTTTTATGTAATTAATGAATTGCGAATTCGTGTGGTCAATGATCTTGAATTATGGGCAACCAAGAAGGCAAACAATAATCATCATTTAGTACTGTACTGGCTTCCTGATCCTCCGACCTAGCTTTACCCGATGTTTTAAATATGAGAAATACCATACAGGAGTAATGATATTGAAGATTAATGCCATACATGTTCTGTGATAAGACCACTGTAATTACCGCAATTGTATCACACCTTTCTAGAACTTCTGACGATCCTGGCAGCCAGTGAATTTATCTTTTAAGAAACGGTCGCTATCCGGACAGTCCCAAATCTAGCGTCCCTTTCGATTTTAAGATTTTTACTGTACATATCTACTGTATTTTATAAGAACTGAACCGAATGGAACCATACATTTATGAAGGGTACAATAACCAACTATAATTTATTCTATTTTACAGACTGTGCTAAACTCATGTTCCTTGAAACACTAGCAATGCTTTAAGTAAATGTAATATGTAATAACAACAAATTAATACGATTAGAACGTATTGTGTCACTTTGGTCTCGGCACCGGCGTGTACGCGTGCGTCGCGGCCACGTCGCGCGTGTATTTCCGTCGAGATTTAAAACGAAAAGAAGAAAAGATAAAAGAAAAGAAAAAAAAAAAAAAAAAGAATCCTATGAGAAACATAGTTAGGGAACGATTTTCCACCGTTTTTTACATGATGTTTATTTCAGTCATAGATCATTAGAGCTTAAACGAAACGATAAAACACGGGAGAAAAATAATAAAATAATAAATGTAAGCGGTTTAAGGAACAGATTTTGGCCGTGCTCGCTCAGATTTTAAAAAAAAATTCGATGGAAGAAAAAAAGAAATGAACAAGTGAAATCTACGTCCATTCTACCCATTCTATCTTTGGGACTGTGCGGCGAATATCTCATGAAAACTCGTAATGTTGAATGTCTTTTTCCTAAAAAAAAAAAATACCAAGAAAATAAGCAAAAAAAAAAAAACGAAACTAATATTAATCCGTACGACAGTTCGAAAAATATTAGATACAATTCTTTGAACCAATCTACATGAGCGTATGACTGGATAATTTGATAAACTAAGTACAAGTAAGACAAGTGTTACCTCATCATGAAAATCGGCATGTCTGTGTCGCGATAGCTACTACTGCACTGCTGTCTGATACACACTTCCGTTGTATATTGCATTTAAACTCGAAAGCTTTTTGTAACGAATAGTTCAGCAGTGGTAGCTTCTCGAAGTACACGGCTGCTGTTCATCGAACCCAGCTCATACAAACGTTCATTTTTCCATTTACTTTAAGTCATTGCACCACATCAAATAAATGACATTTTCATTATATAATCATGAGAACTTTTACGTGATTTTTCATTACCCCTGACTACGCCTTGCCAGCGACGCGTCTCGCGCATGTATATTTCAATTCTTTTTTCTTTCCAAGTTCTATACTTGATATTTCATAAATTTCCTTGAATCGAACTTTAGCATGATATCGGGCTCAGATTAAAATTACCTTCAGTTACGTTAAAAAGTAATCTTAAACTTATATTTATTTCTCGGTTACAAATAATCTACAAATTCACGCAGTCATCGATACCAGATGTTTCGTTAAAGATGATGCACTATTGGAAAGGCCGGATTAGTTTGGTGCGTTACTCTATCTGTTGGTTTCGGGGTATCTGGATATGCTGGCGGTGCTTCGAGCATTAATGCCTAAAAAATACGTACAGTTGATACCACGGATTCTCAGCCGTTTAAAGGGAATACGATTCTCCCGCGTAACTTGCAACCAACATGGCCAGAAAGAAAAAAACTAATTGCAAATCCCATTTTTATGGAGAGGGGGAAGGTAACGTAACGTGGGGGGAGGGGCTCTAGTACCTCGCCCCCCACTCCTCAAAAATAGGATTTAGTTTGTCTTTCTGGGTGCGCTGCTTGCAACAGTAGATTGTGACGGTGCAGTTGCGCGACAGAGGTGCGCGATAGAGGTGCGCCATTGCACAGTAAGATACAATCTATTCGTAACGTAACAAAAACGATTTTAATGAGAACGCTTTTACTTAAACTGTTACGATGATAATTCAACAAAGAAATTAGAAACAATATAAGCGTGAAACAACGTAAATAGAGAAAACGTATGTCGCGTAGTATGACTGTATCAACAACACGTGAAATGGGGATCTCTAAATGCTTTTAAACAATTTTACCAAATATAGTGAGTTTGTTTAGTTGCAGTAACACCATCTGGCGTGTTCGAGCAGCGAGAGACAATTAGAGCGTAACACGAAGTAGAAAGGGTAACGATTAATTAGAAAACGTATGAAATCCGTGGCATCAGATTCGTACGCGACGATAGGTTGTGCGATAAAGTCAGATTTATCTGCCATCGACTGATATACGAGAGATAATAGATATAAAATTGCTTATAATTCAGTTGTTCGTAATTTGGATGTACCTTCTATAATATTAGTTCCGAACAAATTATCAAATATATTTAGGTAGAAAATAGATAAACGTACTCTGTTGGTAGGCGATTCGTAAAAAGGTGGTGCGTTACATGCTTCGTTATACGGCGGCGGTCTGTCCCTCGATTCATCGTAAATCGCATAGCATTGCAACGAATCGGAGTTTATGTTTTCGTTTTGACACACGCTATGGTGTGTACAACTGTCGCGAGATCCCCTGCAAATACTTTACAACAATGTCGATATTACTTTGTGTATATGGTAATTGTGCATTTTCCTTTCTATTCTGATTAACAATAGCCAAGAAAATAACAGTACTGAAGATATTTGTTATCCTATTGAAACTTTGATGTTTAATTGCCGAGAATTCCTACCTGACGCACACCTTGCAGTACATTACAATCGCAAAACAAATACCGCATACAAATAATAGAAATATAACAATTTGTATAGCCGATATCGTGTTCCTATCTTTTGTTCCTACAAAAGAAACAATTTCGAAAATTAGTCGACGATAGAAAATAAAGAAAAGAAAGAGGTAAAATATTTTTAAATATCTAGAATTTGTAATGTCTGAAGAATTTATACGAAAAATGAATCATACCGATAGAAGCTAGAATGAAATCGTGTTTGGCGCGACAATGATTCAATAATTTTTTGACAGAACTTACCTTTGTACGGGTTATCGTCTACGTATGTGTCGCAGGAGTAAATTCCATTCTCATTGTAACGATAATTATTTGAAAACTGAGGTAATGAGGTATTAGGTTCTACGAACGATAAAGACCACTGTGTTTAGATTCATCGGCGTTATAATAAAAACTGATATACGTACCTGTAGAAATTATTGTATTCACTGTGACCATGTTATATAATTACACAATAAGAATCGTTTACTCAAAACAATTTACAAGACTACATAAATGTACATTGATATTACCGTGGTATTATCATTTGATTATAACTGAAGGAAAGTTTGTATATCATATGCGAAAAACAATCCCCGCAAACAGATAAATACATTGGCTTAACGTAAAACATTGAGTACTTGGACGTGTGAAGATTACAATCTTATCAAAAGGAAACTCCCTGATAACAAGTATAATCAGCGTCACAATTACTTTTCCATTACATTTAAAGTATCCCTTAACACATTGCCGCGAAAAGGATCGTTCTCATTGATCCATTGTTAATTACTCTTAACCAATTGCATACTAACGTGTGAAATAATAGAAACCATACACGATTGCTTAGCATATATTTTGTAATATACATGAATAAATATTAATAACCCAGTCGTAACAATTCCTAAGACCATATAATTTACAATATAATTGAGATTTTGGTAAATATTTGATGTTCATGCTGTACAGTTAATTCGTTAATGTGATCAACGCCTCGACAACATTCCCTCTGTGTTCCCTGAGCGTTTGTTCCGCTATGCTTCGACTTATTTCCATTTCTTTCATCTGAAATTAAATTAAACAATATACTCGTAAGTTTGTAAGATTGTTCTCTCATAAAAGGAACATTATCGATAGTAATTGTATACAAATATCTTACAATGAGATCAACATCTTCCTTATTGATAGGAATTTTTAATAACTCCTTCTCTCGCGCTTTCTTCTCCGCTGCCTCCTTATTCCGTTGATCTCCGATTATGCTCAAAGCCTAAAGCAAATAAATTCGTCGAATCAAACAAACTATATTGTGCATTTGTGCAACTGTATACATTGTATGCAGGTTAGGTTTGACAGTTTGTTACCGTTTTGTAAATATCGCACGAATATTAGCGCAAGGTAATAAAAAATGTAACGTGAGCTTGGAAAACTCGAATCTCGTTTGTTAACGAGCGAAATAAAATTCTGTTGTTGACAATTGTAAACACGTGGTGCGGCAGGTAGCATAAGATACTTACGCAAGAGAATCCGTCCGACGAGGATATTTCTTTCTCCTCCGCATAATCTGTGACCTTTTCTAAATCGGCAGCGCCGCTGTCATATTTCGCTGCCTTTTTCTGTGATTTTTCTTGCTGCACTTCGTCGGAATCACCGTTCACGACGTTATCCGCCATTTTTCCTCTTTTTGTATCGCACTTTCCAGTGTTAGAATTATTAGAGACCGCATTAGATAACTTCAGAATTGATCCGCATTTAATTCGTCCACTTCACGGAATTCGAACGACAGTCCGGCCTTTGATTATATCCGATGTTCCATGCGCTGTTGCTAATCTTTTTAATCGGCGTTAACCGTAAATGTATTGGTAGTCTAATAGCAATTTTCAACCTTTTTTATTTTGCGATATATTTACATCGTTTATTTCATTCCTACGGAATATCAAAAAATATTCTGATAATTTTATAGTTCAATGACTGCCTTCAATGTGTTTATTTAAAAGAAGCTATAGTTCATGATTAAAAAGACCTATAAATTGTGGGAGCTTGAACAAATAATGCACATTTGTTTAGTCTTTGAAGAAACATAAATATCGAAAATTCTTTGCAATTCTTATGAAATAGTCTACGTATCTCGATAATTTTGAAATATGTTATAAAAGACGAAACTTTGAATCCATACATATAATCATCAAAAACTGTCATTCTAGTCTTTTTTACCTTTTAAAACTACGATGACAGTTATTAACGGTTATCATATGACACATGTGACACATAACCTTTTTTACCACTCATAATACACGCGATTGCCGCTCGTTAGTTGCATCGTTTGTAGAAAATTCGTTGATGTTTTCACTCCGCTGTTTTAATAGGAGGTTTAATAATTAATCACCAATAATGGCCGAAACGTCGTTTCCTAAATCAACGAATGATTCTCAGTTTGTTCGAAACGAACCTATAAATTACACAGCTGGTATTTATAATATTAAGTTTTTACAATGTTGCGGTACAGTGAGTCCTACAAGTACGCGATTAATTCGTTCCAAAGCTCTATACGATATATTGCAAAGAGAAAGGAAGATCAATCTTGGGTCAAAACATATGCAATCCTTTGAAGACAGTCTGAAACATTTGATTCGATACAATTTGCAATTCCTTTCTCAACACTTTTTCTTTCTCCCTGTAATACGTATAAAATGCAATCTTACGTGTATCTAACACAACCACACAATTTAATATCGTGTAATTCAAGGACTTGCTACACCTGAAATTTATGTTTCGCAAGGTTTCAAACCTATGTAATACTTTTAAGAGATCCGACAAATGATGCATGGATTTGGAGACAGTGGCGAACCATTGGTGGAGTCTGTAAAAATTGTGGAAGAAGTTGTCTTGCAGCAAATGAGAACGATCGTGAAGAAGGCGTGCGAAGTTTCTTACAGATCTGAAAATCCAAAGAAAGGTTCTTGCATCTCTGCGGAAGATTTCATTTTCTTGTTGCGCAAGGATAAGATGAAATTACAGAGGTTGATAAGATATATGGGTGGGTTCGAAATTTGGATCGAAAATCAAAGACTTTGGTGCTCAAATCACATTCACGTTTGACTGTGTTTTTTTATAGAATTGAAAGACTACAAGTCCTCCTTGCACAAAGCATTGGAAAGCGATTTACCCGAGGACATTATGAACAACGAACATTTAAGGAATTCTAAGCACAGAGGACCGTTTCATACTTTTCTTAGCCAAATCGACAATACCGGCGAGCTCCTCGAAGACGCGTCGACCGTAGACGAAATCAAGCAACAAAGATGCATTCGCGCCGAAATTATGACGCGATCCATGGACGAAGCTAGATACCTAAAATTCAGTAAAGCGCGCAACGCATCATTTTCGAATAAAAATCGTCATAAATTTAGCGACTGGCTGTTACCAGACAGTGAGCGTCCGAATGAACAAGAATATTAATTTTTACAGTAGAATTATCGAAACTTAAAGTGCATTTTAAAACATTTCAGGCGATATAATGATAACTAAAGAAGGGTACACGATTTTAGGATATTTAGCGTATGAAACGGTAGCACAAATTGTAGATTTAGCGTTGTTAGTGAGGCAAGACCAAAATAAGATCCATGGAGACGCTATAGATCGGCTTAGGCTTAGTTACGTGAATCCATGTACCTACAAACCTTACTATCACGGCAAGGTTTGTATTTCCCCCCTTTAAATCTTCTAGTTTATACAAAAACTTATATAAACTTTTCTTAATTAGGTTGCCGTAACAAAACCGATAACACCTGCAGAAATAATTGAAGCCCTCAGGCGATACTGGTCACCACAATTAGACATGACAGGTCCATTCAATCGTTGGTCAATGAAAAAGCCACATTTAAAGCTCCTCTGCTGTTAGATTACAAACGGGTAAGAATGAATTTCATAACACGCGCAAGATGCATAATTTATTATCGAACGTAAAGAAAATAAGATCTGAATAGCTTTCGAACATTTTACGGTAAGATTAATTTGTCGGGAGTTTGAATTTAGCGGAATAAATTAATAAGTAGGTATATTTTAAAATTGACCAATGTTTATTGACTTGTTCCTGTACCACTTACACGTATAACTTAGATCTCTAATTTTAGGTTTACACATAACCACTACTACACAAATTAATATAATTTTATTTTTTTTTTTTTTACAAAATCTTCCGGGTCATGCGATTTATCAATGACATGACGTTCGTAGATATCGTGTGTATCCATTTCTTTTTTTTTCTTTTACAGTACAATTACAGTGTTACCTGCATATTTTACAATTCATAGTCCCTGATTCAAATTTAAAGATAAGATTATAATACAATTGGCTTTGTGTTAATGATACGTTTGTATTCATTGTACTTCATCGTAAAATACTTGGATCTTCCCTTTAATTTCACGATACTTCGCGTAATTATCATTTTGACGGGACACCGTTGGATCCCATCGTTTAATATTTATAATGACTGTAAAACTTTTCCTTAACGTAAAATATGCTATGTGTTTAATATCTACAAATTTGAGCTAATCTTAAACTTTACGTGGTTTTACGAATTCACGCAGATACTAATTTTACTCTTGTATCATGGTGAGAGCAATGTTGATACTCGTACTTTCCCTTCGGCGCCGCCGGTTATGCAAGTCCCGGATTGGTTGGCAGTGGACCAGTCACAGCACAGCGTACCTTTGTGCCCACCTAATTCTAAAACCTTAGCCTGCGCGCCAGGCGGCATCTGTGACAAAATTAACGTTCGACATTATTTTTAAAACTCGACTTAACTTTCTCGATTACATTGAAAATCAAAAGTTAGTATGTACTTTGTATATGTTTCCACCGGTTTGCGTGCAGAGCAACATGTAATTGCCGCTCTGATCGAAGGTGAATAATTTCCCGTGGACCGTATTTTTCTCCACCTTAATCTTCGTCTCCCATAAAATCTTCCCCGAATGGTTCAAACTCCTTTGACACAATTTCCCGTCTTCGCTTTGCGTGCAAATGTTCGTGTAATCGTTAATTAATTCTATGTCGATAACCGGACTCGAATGGCAACTGATGTTATCGATGATCTCGTTCCGTCTCAAGTCGTGTATTAAAATATTCCCATTGGACAGTCCCGTAATAAGTAGTTGCCCATTATGATTAAAAGCAGAACACAGCGCAGTCACGCTTTGTTCCATTGGCAATGTCCTCTCCAGTTTCCTTGTCTTTATATCGTACAGTAAAAGTTTCCCTTCGTTCGAGTCTGATACGGAACATATGAACGTTGACTCCGTCGGATTGCAGAGCAGACTGATCACTCGGGAATTCTCGTGTTGAATGTCCCACAATGTCTTACAATCGCGAGTATCGTGTAATTGAATCAAACCATTATTGTCACCGTGTAAAAAATAACGTTCGTTTTTCGATATCCAGTCTAACGCTGTTATAGCTTTATTCGAGTTTGCTGTGGCAGATATATATGTAGTAACAGTCCTATTTGGTACAAGAAGAATTGTAATTAACGCAAACCATCGATACGTCGAACGAGCATTGTAAACAGCGATGCGATTAATATCGTATGGATACAGTAATGCACTGTTAAGATTCGAGACTCAACAGCGTGTTTATATCCCCACTCTTGCTGCAGTTCGCTGATTGGCTGTCACCGTTCTCGACCAATGCCTGTGAGTCAGCTGACTGCAGCAGAAGTGGGGGATGTAAACACTGTTTCAGAGGGCTGTGCCTTCTCGCGGAAGAACGGTACATTACTGTACTATCGATATCGAAAGTCGATACTACGCTTTCGAATATAAATAATTACTTTGGCGATGGTATCGGTGTCCATACTTTGATAATGCCATCCGCATCACCCGTAGCGACGTACGAACCGCTTGCATTGCTTTTACATTGTATTATCGATGTTTTGTGCTCCGTGTACTCTTCCTAAAAATGATTCCCTGTTACGTGAAATTTGCAAAATGCCCGCTACGCAAACAAATGTTTTTTCACCTGGCTGAGAAGAATATAAGTGGAATCGATCTTATCTTTAGCTTTCCGTTCGGCCACCGCGTCGATGGACGAGTCCCTTTTCCTAGAGCTAGTTAACCTCGAGTCACAGCTAATGCTTCTTTTGCTAACAGTCTCGGACTTACTGATCGAGCTCAGTTTCCCCTTCGTGTTCGTTCGCTTCGACGATGCGGATTCGGGTTCCGCGACCCTTCTCACGCTCGCGGCCGATTTTCTATTTAAAATCGGACTCGAACCCCCGCCTATATTTCTTATAAGGTTCCTTAGAGTTTTGGGATTTTCTAATAAAGGAGATTCTCTGTTTAAATGGAGAAACAAAATTAGCACCGCGTTTAACGCGCGAATTTGTTTCACATATTTATCTCGTTAACCCCTTGCCTTACGATTTAATTCCCAACTAGACTTATCGCGTCTCTGAGACGTCATTGTAAGCCAAGAGGTTACGATTCGCTTTTGATCGACGATGTGTTATCGATGATATAGATCGTACTCGAAACACACGTTTACGATACCGTCTAAATTATGAGCTGTGATTTAAATTGTAAGTCATCGATCGACACTGGATCCAGATTGCTCCGCATTTAAAGTACTTACTGCGCTATTATATAAAAATCATCCATAATCGGCGGATGTTGAGGAGCTGGTCCTGGATTCACGTCCATTACATTATCTATTTTAACGGAGTCGCTTAAACGCTGCTTAAGCGATTCGTTCTCTTCCTGCAATCGTTTCAACTTACTCGTATCCTCGTCTATCGTAAGCAGCGTTGGTAATGGCATGCACTGTAACGTTGGTACATCGTTAATTCAACTACGCGACTGTTTGTTTCCTCTAATATTATGTCGTTACGATCGTAATCAAAATTTTGATATAATATTAAGATAGGAAACCTTGTAACGTGAGAGACAGGATGCAAAATACCTTTCACCTACTTGGAAAATAGTAGCAAGGAAATTGTGCAGGGACAGTAACATAGTGTCCTGCCACTGTCTGCTAAAGTGCGCAGAGTACGCTGGATTGTCCTCTGGATTTTTAACAAACGGCAATGCTGTAACATAGAAAATTATAATTCATCTCTGGACAAGTACTATACATCATCAGCTGGTTGGCATGTATCGGTAGTTCCCCTCTAGTTTAAAAGATGTAAGAAAATAACAATTACCGAACCATTCCTTCCACTCTGAATGCCCTTGCAGCTCCGGCGTCATTTTGACAAAAAACTCTTGAATTCTGTCCTGCTTATTGTTCACGGCTGCGTTGACCAAATACATTTTCAGAACAGCATTCTCTAATTTACGCACAGCCGGTGTAAAATGACTTTCCAACCGTGAAAACATTCTTGTATCCAAATGTCCCCATAATTCTCTCAAGGATGCCAAGTCATGGTTATACACGTACTGCATCAATTGATCGACGATTTTGTCAACCTGACAACAGAATACAAAAGAAGGTGACAACAAATCCGTGGGGAACAATATAAGTATTATTGCTTTCGAAATTGATAATGGCATGACAATCGTGAATTTGTTACGGCGATTTCTTTTTAATTGCAATGTTCGTAAAGCATCGTTTTCTATGTATTTTCCACTTTCTATCAGCATTTTGTTTTATCCTCACCCTGAAGCCTTTTTCTTTCTCGGCTTTTAAGTCGTTATCGAAAGCTTTCAAGGTTTGACTAAAACCTCGGAAGAGCAAGTATTCTTTGACCAATTCGTCCACATACTGAATGTGAGACATTTTCCCGCGATTCTCTTCGAACTGTCTACTTTCTTCTTTAACTGACAGCCGTATGTTGTCATCCTTTGGCCATTTTGATACCCACTAAATATGCATCAAACTTTCCTGTTGTCGTTTGACAAACATAGCTGCCAACGTTCGCCTGTCCAGTGACCGTTCCAAAGAGGAAACACTGAATGTTGTGGCGGCAGTTACGTGCAATTCCACCGGCTGCTACATATAGGCACACCTTTATGTATGCAAGAACGCGCCAAAAATAAGTGCAGTAATGGCACTGTTAACTTTCATATGGTAAAAGTAGTAAGTTGGCTAGTAGTAGTAGCCAATAGCAAAAGTGACGCGTGCAGGTAGCGTAGTTTTCGTAGAATTGTACCCTAACATTACGAGTCTTTTACCTGTATGGGAATTATTGGCGTATCATGATGTTTCTTTTCATCGATAAAAAATAATGTTTAGTTCTTTATTTTTGGTACGTGTAGTAATTACACTATATCAATGCATACATTAGTAATTTTATTAAACTAAATTCCCTAGCTTATTATGGTAGCGACTCCGGTACCAGAGACGCCAGTTTGAGCACCGGGTGCACTACTCACACTATGCCGGATCACGCGTACGTGAGCTCGTGGAGTTTCGGAGGGTCGACAAGGGCAAACTGACCAATGCCCCCTTTCTCGATTCTCCGAAGCTGCCCGAAGTAACTTCGGTCCGTCTCGTGGGAGTCGAGAGAGGAAGGCTCATTTGCCTTCTCGCGCTTGAACACGTCGACGGCATACGATTCCAAGTCTCGACTGGCCAAGTATTTTTCTATTTTCCGACCTATGTTGGCGTACATAAGCAAAGTACTATAATGAAAACGAACTTTGTGAAATTTTTCTTACGGATATACACGTTTTAAGACCCCCCGATCATACTTGAATTATTGATAAGAAAGAAATTCAGATATCACTTCTGATATATCTGGCAACGTATAGCCATTACTGCAGGCTACTGCCAGTCTCTCGCAGCCTCTGCTAGCTTCTGCTGGTCTCTGCTAACCTCTGCCAACATGTGCGGGCTTCTACCTGCCTCTGCTGGCCCCTGCTGACCAATGCTGACCACTGCTGACCACTCCTGGTACTTCGTGCAACGTATAACGATTACGACTGGCTACTGCTAGCCTCTCCCTGCCTGTACTGGCCTCTGCTGACCACCGCTTATATTTCTGACAACGCACAACGATTACTAATGACTTCTGCCAACCTTCGTTGGACTCTGCTGACCGCTGCTGACCTCTCCTGGTATTTCTGACAACGTATAACGATTACGACTGGCTACTGCTTGCCACTGCTGGACTCTGCTGTTCACGGCTAGCCTCCGCTGGCCTCTGCTGACCATCCCTGATGCTTCTGACAACGTATAACTATTACTACTTGTTACTGCTGGTCTCTGCATGCCTCTGCATCCTTCTGCTGGCCTCTGCATCCCTCTGCTGTCCCCTGCTGACCCCTGCTGACCACTGCTGACCTTTGTTATCAACTTCTGACATGATGTATAAGTATTCAAGCCTTGTATAATGTAAATCTATGGTAATAAATAATATTTAACAGAATTCTATGTGTTCTCATCATTTTTACCTTTCTTTTCCTCTCCAAATCATTCCCTTAGTTTTAAGAGACCGTTTTCCCGGTTAAAATTGGACTCCCGAAGTGTCCAGCTCTCGTACTTGCTGCCAAAATCAAAAATTTCAAAGTCCTGAAACAATTGGAACGTCCTGAAACAGTTGGAAAGCCCTGAAACAGCTGGAAACCCCTGAAACGACTTTTAATTTCGGAAATCCCGAAAAATTGGAAAGTCCTGAAACAGCTGGAAAGGCCTGAAACGACTTTTAATTTTGGAAATCCGAAAAATTGGAAAGTCCTGAAACAGCTGGAAAGCCCTGGAACAGCTGGAAACCCCTGAAACGACTTTTAATTTTGGAAACCCGAAAAATTGGAAAGCCCTGAAACAGCTGGAAAGGCCTGAAACAGCTGGAAAGTCCTGAAACAGCTGGGAAGTCTTGGAATTTCTAGCAAAGTTCTGATTTTCAGGACTTCCGGGGTGTTTTAGAACTTCCTAGTGGGTTCAGGGGAACCAAGGAGTTTCAGGGAGTCTTATAACTAAGAGGAAAGGAAAGAAAGGTAAAAGATGATGAGAACACATAGTATTCTTTGTAATTATATCATTTATTGCCATATATTTACATTATACAATGTTTTAATACATATATATCATGGCGGAAGTTGTTAACAAGGGTCAGCAGTGGTCAGCAGGGGTCAGTAGGGGTCAGCATGGGTCAGTAGGGGTCAGGGGGGGTCAGGAGGGGTCAGTAGGGGCCAGCAGGGGCAAGCAGTAACATGTAGTAATCGTCACACGTTGTCGGAAGCATCGGTGATGGTCAGCAGTGGTCAGCAGAGGCCAGCGGAGGCAAGAAGTGGCAAGCAGAGACCAGCAGGGGCAAGCAGTGGCAAGTTGTAATCGTCACACGTTGTCGGAAGCATCGATGGTGGTCAGCAGTGGTCAGCAGGGGTCAGGGGGAGTCAGGGGGGGGTCAGTAGGGGCCAGCAGGGGTAAGCAGTAACATGTAGTAATCGTCAAACGTTGTCGGAAGCATCGGTGGTGGTCAGTAGAGGCCAGCGGAGACAGGCAGAAGTCATCAGTAATCGTTGTGCGTTGTCAGAAATATAAGTGGAGGTCAGCAGAGGCCAGCAGTACCCAGCAGGAGCCCGTATAGGCTGGGAGAGATTGGCAGTAGCCCGTAGTAATCGTTATACGTTGTCAGAAGTAACAAGAGTGGTCAGCAGAGGCCAGAGAACTGTAGGAAAATTGAAAAGTACTTGTAGTCGTACCTTATGCGTCGTACTTTTTACCTTATACTTCAAGTAAAAAGGAGGATAACTTGGTAAAACAATTTTATGACATTACGTGCTAACTCAAGTTACCGTTCTAAAATAAAACGCTATACTTGAGAAAATATTCTCTGCACAGTACCCAAAGATACCAGATGTAGCCCTGATTGCACAGGGGACACCTCATTCCACGTTCTCACTATGCCAGATGACGCGTACGTGAGCTCGTAGAGTTTCGGAGAGTCGACAAAGGCTTACATATCCCCTCTTTCTCGATTCTCCGAAGCTGCCCGAAGTGATTTCGGGCCGCCTCGTGGAAGTCGAGAGAGAAAGGCTCACGTTTGCCTTCTCGCTCTTGAACAACTGAAATCCGATCTGCCGTCAACGGCATACGATTTGGAATCTCAGAGAAATGTGGATGCTAACGTATTACGATCGAAGGGAATAGTGTATGATGAATTAAGTGCAACGAGCTGACTTCCAAGTATTGCAAGAAATTTCCCCTTTTTACCATTGCCCATTACTTTGTCTTATGAATCAAGTGCACAGGAATAAAGAGAAGCCTAATGTGTATGTCTTTTTATTCGTATCATAAACTCACATCATCGTACATCTTACAGCGAAGCTGTTCCGCCTCGGCCACAGTACTCTGAACGTTACACCCATCGCAAACATTTTTAATTTCGGTAAAAAGAAAAACAACATGCGAATAACATCTTTTCCTTTTTCGTACAAACTAGAAAACGACCATCGGACACCGGGACACTCGCGAATGTCTCCGTCAACGTATCGTGTATCGGATTCAATTATTTGAATTATACTTCAAGGTTAAAGGTTAAAGGTCTATCGTGTCACAGCTGTTGAATTTACGTGACGCCCACCATAAGGGAAAAATTCTTATCGCAACAGAGCAAGATCCATTTTCGCAAGATGACTTTAACCAAACATTTTCGTCAAATTATTACCGAGAATCTACAAAGTTTTACAAGTTTCAAAGCGGCGGTAGCCCAGACGTTCACTCGCGCGATCAAAGGTCGAGCAATTCAAATCACGAAGCGTCTATCGCTTCTCTTCGTTGATACAAATTTTTCCCTGCCATTTATAGTTAATATTCAATGAGTCCTCCCGAGAGCAGAAAGCTCCAAACCGGTAAAAAAAGGACCGACTCGACTTCCGTGAAACAGTACAAAAATCCAAAACTTCATCGATGCGTCAAGCAGTCTAACGACCATTGACCAACGCAAACCTTACACAACGTTAGTTTCCATTTTTTTTTTTTTTTTTTTTTCTTCGAGGACGATCACAATGTCGAGGGTTGGGTGCAGACAAGAAACCTAAACGACCAATAAACACGAACGGCACAAAAAGTTGAAGGGAGCAAGAAGAAACGATAAGAATAGAGAAATGAAAGAATACTGCGTGTATTTTCTACATGTTGGATTACATGTCCTTAGAAAAAAAACAGGGTGAAACGAAATCAAAATACTGTTAAACATATATAATACGCGTTGCATTACCGTGTGTAATACAAAGCTACTTCGCATTTTTCTCTTCTCTTTGCGTGTTTTTTTTTATTTTAATCATACGGATCAATAGGAAGGAACTTGTTGAGTCAACATAAGAGACAATAATAATAATAATATTAATAATAACGATAATAATAATAATAATAATAATAGTAGTAATCATAACGCGTGTAAAGGGGAAAAGATCGGCGAAGATACAAGAGACGAGGGCGAGGAGCAACCGTCCGCTGTCAAGTTCCATACTTTTGGCAACTCAAAATATCTTACTTCTGATCTTCCGACTCGATTCCCGAACCTTCTCGACGCGGACGGGCCTCCCCCATCGTCTGTTTCAAACTCTAAGGACCCGCTTGTAGCTGCACAAGGTCTTAGCACATCGAGGACGAGAATAACATGGCGTCTAAAATCTTATGGGCAACGTGGTTTCCTCTATCTCTTTCTTTTTAACTCCACGCGATTCACGTGGATCGAAAATGCCCTCTTTCGGATATCGTTTTCTTTCTCCTTTATTATTTAGAACACAATTCTTTCTGACAATTTCACGTCAACGAACGCGATTGTCGTTCTAACGACTGTGGGTACTCTCGAGCATTCTTAGAATATTTCGAGAGACGTTTTCTCGCTCAGCGTGAACAACCGGAGGATCTTCGTCCGGTTCGTTTGTCCAAGAAGTGGGTCCTCGATGCGTCAAGAACGTCTAAAGGGCGAATTGGGAAGGGGGAGATGGTCGTGGTGTCGGTTATTGCTGGCGCGCTTTAGAGTTCCTTCTCGATCTTGATCAGCTCGGCGATCCCGTCGTGCATCTCCTTCACAGCCTGGTACTCGGTGAGACCGAGACGTCGCTTGTTGGAAATATCGTAGATGCCGCCCTCGGCCTCGGTGTGCTCGCCGCGAGTACCGCGCACCTGGAGGTTGAACTTGGACGCGATCTCCTCGAGCTTTTCCCTGTTCGCGGCCAGCTTCGGCACCTTGATGTGCACGGAGGCGCGCACAGTGGTGCCCAGGTTCGTCGGGCAGAACGTCAGGAAACCAAGACGGTCGTTGTGAGAGAACGGAACCCGTTTCTCGATCTCGTTCACGGCGGACACCAGACGGCGGTACACCTGGAAAACGACACGTAACATATAATTTCTGTTCTAGAGTACTATCGTGGATGATAAACGGTGTTGTTACAAAGTCGATAGTGCTAGGAAATACAGGAAAGAAGAAAGAGTACGATTGTAATTATTCTTCTATCATTGTGTCCTTGTTTCATGTATTCACCTGTCCAAGATCACCGCCCATCTGCATGGAGATGATACGGAGATGATCCTCCTCGTTGCACCATACCAAGAAAGTCTTGTCATCGTTGTGGAAAATACCACGGCCAGTGGGCCAGAAACGGCAGGCGTTGGCGGCCTGCAAGAAGCGATCGCCCTCCTTGAAGAGGAAGTGGTCGTCGATCAGCTTCTGCTGGACCTCTTTGCTCATGCCGGTCAAGGGATAGAAGGTCCCTTTCAGCTCGCCCTCCAGACCAGACAGAGTGGCGGATACCTTGTCTTCCATCTCCTTGTACTGAGCCTCGGTCAAGCAGGGGTTGAATGGATAGCCTTCCATGGAACGTCCGCATCTCACACGAGTGGAGACCACAAATTCAGCCTAAAAGAACGAATCACAAGTTAGTATTTTTATATAGAAATGATCTTTTCTACTGTAAGAATGGTATGAATGCTTTTGGACACTTACAGCAGGGTCGAGGTTTCCAAGAGTGTCGACGTCGCCAAAATCTTTCGGTGGGTGCTTGTCGGTCTTCTTGAAGCCACTGTGGTAGTCCTCGATGATGGGGTCGAAGAGGTCAGCGAAAACTGTGTAAGACTCAGCGTCAGGGGCGTAGATACCGACGCCGGAGTCCAGGTTCTCAACACCAGACTGGATCACGTCGAGAAGAGTGGAACCAAAGGAAGTCTTCTTCGTCTTGAGTTGATCGAAGACCTCCTTCGTCAGATACTTCTTCAGCAGAGACTTGCTGTCGGAGGCGGCCAATTTGCTGAAGCCAGCCTCAAGCTTGTCCAGAACAGCCTGGTCAACCATATTGCTAGTTTTCTTGCTGGAAAAAAAAGAATAGAAACCATTAGTAAGGAATTGTTCAACTAAGGCATCTAGAACATCAAGAACAACACTTTGTGATGGAAAATTGTACTTTTCTTGAAAGTGATGATCTATTTGCATGGTTACTTATTGATTTGACTGCTTTAAAAAATATATATAGGTTTGTGTCCTTCAGTCTTTCATACTTTGACTCAAACTTTTGTATAAGTTTTTCAAGTTTAAAATATTAATTTAAAAAGAGGTTTAAAAATAAAATAACCGTGATTTGATATATATATTAAGGATCCCCATTCTGTTGGAAGGTTGAAATTCTTTAATTTTTAAATTTCTGAGTGCAAAGGGTTTATTTCTTTTACTGTAAATCTGATTCGTCGAAACTGAGAATAAATATTGTATATCGTGCTCAAGTTTGAACAATTGGATATGACTGTTATCGTGTTTCTTACAAGAGATAAGCGAGTAACAAGGATATTCCTAAAGTAAGGATTAAATAAGTCCGTCGACACGTAACGAAGCTAATGGCTGTCATCGTGACAAGGTGCAGAAAATAGATCTGAGCGACTGGCGAACGCGGTGCTATCTGTGGCGAATTCGCTGGAATCTTTATCGAGAAACCTTATCTCGAGTGTTACGCGTTTGTTTGTCCCGCGTTATGTATAATAGATTATCGACGATAATGGTGACGATTACGAGTTATTACAATGGAACAACGTTTCACGAGGATTTTATTAGGATTTAGTAAATCGATATAGTATCGCTACTTAACGGATTCAATGTCGTGCAAAAATAAGAAATTCTTTCGACTTGTATGTTTTACGATACGCGCGAGCACGGTTTAATTACGTGCGGGGATCAAACTGTTTTCGCGATTGCAACGTGACGAGTCGTCGCAATCGTAAAGACGAATCAACGTCTTGTTTGAAAATGACTCTTCGGGATGTTTCTCGTCGTTTTTTAATGTATTTATTGCACGCCAGTCGTGGCGTTCTGGCGTTTGAAATTAACGGAATTATTTTTGGTGGACAGAGAGGTTCTCCGTCTCTCTTGGTACAGTTTATCGTTCGTGGAAGATTGGTCGACGAATTGGGTAGTTTTATTGCGTTACTCACGTTTTGAGCAGCCTGAGAGGCGGTCGAATGATACAATGGTCAGGATAACGGGCCAAAGGTCGTGTTAGGGCTTCCCTCGAGGCGCAGAGGACATTTATGAGCTTGCACGGTCCGAACATCGAGTATCAGTCCACGAACGATCGAGTCGAGACTGGTGGACCAACGGCCCTTAGAGACACGTGCTTTTTCTCCGCGTTTCCTCGTGCGTGCTTCACGAAAGGATTCATTTCTTATTCACGTGTGTCGCTACGAGCGATCGACGACCGTGTCCGACGGGACGAACACGGGCGATAAGGAACGTCGACTTTCGACCAGGACAATATGGCGGCGAGAAACATGGCGGGCAGAAATGCATATGGCGGTTTTGGAATGGCGATGTTCGATGTAAATTTAACCCTTTGCACCCGATTATTATTTCTTTATTGAGAGAAAAATTGAAGAAAATATAGATTTATCTAAAATGTGAATACAATCACGGTCGATAAGGAACATCGACTTTCGACCAGAACGATATGGCGGGCAGAAATGCATATGGCGGTTTTGGAATGGCGATGTTCAACGTAGATTTAACCCTTTGCACTCGATTATTATTTCTTTATCGAGAGAAAAATTGAAGAAAATAGAGATTTATCTAAAATGTGAATAGAAACACGGTCGATGAGGAACATCGACTTTCGACCAGAACAATATGGCGGCGAGAAACATGGCGGGCAGAAATGCATATGGCGGTTTTGGAATGGCGATGTTCAATGTAAATTTAACCCTTTGCACCCGATAATTTATATCTTTATCGAAAGAAAATATAGATTTATCTAAAATGTGAATACAAACACGGTCGATAAGGAACATCGATTTTCGACCAATTCAATATGGCGTCGAGAAATATGACGGTTTTGGAATAGCGATGTTCAAACGTAAATTTAACCCTTTGCACCCGATAATTACCTCTTTATCGAAAGAAAAATTGAAGAAAATATAGATTTATTTAAAACGTGAATACAAACACATATTTTGGAATAATATTCAGATACTAGATCAGTGCACACAGAATTCTCGAAGTACAGTGGAACAACAAGTGGAGAGGACGGTTGCTAGGCAACGAGAGGTTAGGTGTACAGGCTGTGGAGAGCTACTGGTCACTGGATCGGTTACCTCGATTATTGCAAACATTCTCAGACCTCGTTTCCAGCAATAATCGAGGTACTGCCGTATTAAAATTTAGTCTCGAATATTTCGATCGCAGAAACGGCAGAAATGCCATTCTCGGTAGAGTAACAATTCCAACGAGTAGTTTCTTCAACGTTTAAATGTTCCGAGCAGTCGTGCAGTGATGCAAGGCGTGTGTCTCATCGTTGGTGCGCTTATTGAGAGACAAGTACACAAGAGTGCTTCGCTCGAACTCAACAAAAAAATAGTAACTTCTTGTTACGGGAGTTGGAATAAAAACACGCATTGAAAGGAACGTCTGTACCGGGACCAGCGTTTGTTCGAAGCCAAACACGCATCCACCATCGAGTTTACGACTATAGAGAAATGGATTCTTGTAGCTTCTTGGTCAACTCTCTCTCTCTCTCTCTCTCGATAAAAAATTTCGATCGTCAATCGAGTCCTGCTAGCCGGGATCATACATTCTGTGCAGAAATTCCGTAGTCGTATCCGTTCGTATCGCTTATAGAGCGCTCATGGAACCCAAAAGGGGATAAATGACAAAAAAATATTTTTCGTTAACTGCATTAAGAGGTTAGGCGTCTCTTGTGCAGTTTTGCACGCTGAAATTACTATCGTTATAGTCATTCGTTGTGACGGGTAGTTGAGCTCGAGCAAAATTGCAATTCGTGGACAACCACCGTTGCTTTTTGGTTTTTTAAACAGAGAGCCAATGTGTGCCAATACGTACTCGTCGTCCTCGACGGCCGTCTCGTCATCCGTCGACTCGCAAAAGCCCAACGACGTACATATGCCCATTGTCGACGATTGTGCGCCGATTATGTCTCCGATTATCGCCCCGGGTTATGGCGTTTATTTATAAGCGACACCAACTGTTACGCTCGGTTCTCTCTCTCTTTCTTACTCTTTCTCTCTTTTGCTTTCTCGCTATGCGTGCGACGAGGAACTCAGGCGGACGTTAATCGCAAAGAAGAGTCACTCGACGTCGAGCACCAGGATACGATCTCATCGCGTTCGAGGTTCCTGCTGGATTTATTCGTGGCTCAGCGAGAATCGACGTCGAACAGGCGACCATTCAGAGAGTTCTCTATCGAGCGTAGAGGTTAGGAAAGATACATAATCTGTTCCAAATAAAGTGTTACAACCTTCTTCAAAAACCAATTTTTTAAAGATATTATTCTTTTGTCATTTAAATAACTTTTATCGAATTAAATAACATTCGATCGAGTTGTTCCTTTTTATCGTGCATAGTTACAGAATTTTTTTACGTGACTCAGAGGGGGTAAAAAGTCCCTAGATTCTTTTTTTTTTGTTGAGTTACGACGTGCCTTGTACAAAGAACACTGACATGAGTAAACAATAATGCTCTAAGCTTTTAATGAATAATTGTAATTAAATATTAAATATACAGAGTGTCCGGACAACCATGGGAAAAATTTTAATGGGGGATTCTAGAGGCCACAATAAGACGAAAATCAAGAATATCAATTTGTTGATGGAGGCTCCGTTAAAAAGTTATTAACAATTAAATTGGAAAATTTCAAATCGTTCTGGAAAAATTATTTTTGGTTGCAGGGGTCAATTATAAGCATTTTTGGTCATTATACATACCCTCGAAATCCTACCCACTTTCGACAAAAAAATTCTAGAAAATGTGAAATTTTTCGACAAAATTAAAAAATTTCAAATCATACTAAAAAAATTATATTTAGTCACAGGGGTCTATTACAAGCATTTTTGGTCATTAGACATATACTCGAAATCCTACCCACTTTTGAGAAAAAATTCGGGTAGGTGTGAAATTTTTCGACAAAATTAAAAAATTTCAAATCGTTTTGGAAAAATTATTTTCGATTGCGGGGGTCAATTACAATCATTTTTGGTGAACAGACATACCCCCCAAATCCTACCCACTTTCGAGAAAAAAATTCGGGAAGGTGTGAAATTTTTCGATAAAATTAAAAAATTCTAAATCGTTTTGGAAAAATTATTTTCGATTGCGGGGGTCAATTACAATCATTTTTGGTGAATAGACATACCCCCGAAATCCTACCCACTTTCGAGAAAAAAATTCAGTAAAGGCGGAACTTTAAACGTTAATAACTTTTTAACAAAGCCTCAATCAACAAATTAATATTCTTGATTTTCGTCTTATTTTGGCCTCTAGAATCTCCCATTAAAATTTTTCCCATGGTTGACTGAACACCCTTGTATAAGAAGCACCCTAAAATTCGTTAAAAAACAAGTATCATATTTGGGGGGTTTCTTTTTGCAAAAATCTATAAATCAGAAACGTAGAGTTTCTTCCAAGTTTAATTAACTTAATGTGAACATTGATCGATAGTTATCGATACATCGTCTTTTTTTTTTAACGAGAATATGCGTCAGCAGTAACAGCAAGGGTGAAGTCGAGCAGAGTTTGATGCGTCGTGTGAAATGCAAATAAAATTTTTCAGGTGACCTGCTTCCCGTCCGCCACCCTACCGTAAGGGCGAAGGGCTAACCCTTTTGTGTTAAGTAACAGGGGTGGTCCCTAGTTACTATAAATGCTGGGTACACACTCGTCGAGGCTCCCATACGTTTAAGTTAAGAGACCAGAAATTCTACACTCGATATGTACTGGATTAACAGAACGAAGTTGCAGGAAGCAGTTCTGATTCAATTAATGGTTCGATGGCCGACGATGAGAATCGAATTCTAAACGATGCATCTATATTTATTG